TTATGTATTTTATTGTGCGTTATTGGCTAAACCCAGTCCTGTTCAGTATTGACCTTGAAATCAATGTGGTTTTCTACAGTTTCAGTTATTTATAGTACACCGAAAATCAGAATGTTTCTCTACATTACTCTACTGTCTAGATGTTTTTTTTAACAATCTGCGTGATAAGAGTACGGTGGATAACTATTGTGACTGTCGGTGTGTTTGTATTAGATAAAGCGATAACTCATTTGTGCGTATTCGATATAAATGCAATAAAGTAAGCACAAAAAATGAATAGAGAAATATTAAAATGTATAAGGTTTTAAAATCATGAATAGGATTGGGATTAACGAAGCGCCATGGATAAAATGAAAGACTTTTCACCTCAAGGATACTTCTGTCAAATTATCTAAAAAAATATGTGACTTTCATTACTTTTTGTAGAGAACACTACACATGATATATGATAAGGAAAGTTTTTGGGTGTTATTATAACACATACAGGGTTAGTCGCTTATGATCTTCACCTAGAACATCTTCGTTGTTTTTAATATAATATGATAAAATATATAAAGACAAAATCCAAGGGATATTATTNGGATAAAATGAAAGACTTTTCACCTCAAGGATACTTCTGTCAAATTATCTAAAAAAATATGTGACTTTCATTACTTTTTGTAGAGAACACTACACATGATATATGATAAGGAAAGTTTTTGGGTGTTATTATAACACATACAGGGTTAGTCGCTTATGATCTTCACCTAGAACATCTTCGTTGTTTTTAATATAATATGATAAAATATATAAAGACAAAATCCAAGGGATATTATTGTGGTACAGAGATTTTTTTCTCAAGATTATTGCTTCTTTGAGTCAAATATTTTTTTCTTCTATAGTTTCTCGTATCATTAAACGCAGCGGATATATTTTAAATGCAAATTGTAGGCGACTCATCCTACATAAAGTGCAAAATAACTACTGTTAAATTCTGTTTTTATGATAAAACTCTCACTGCATTCCTGCAAAATTTAAACTTTCTTCAGGGTGAACCCTTTTTGTGATGGACATTTTCAACTATTCTAAGAATATGCTAGTCTTCATCGAATTATATTTCTTAGTGATAATAATGGATAAGGTTGGAGTGTTTGACCACGTTTATTTCGTTACGGCTCGAAATTTCGGGCCGAGTCTCGAAAGCTCGTAAAGTTCGGGTACCTGCACACTCCTGGGATAAGGCAATAGCCATGAAACAAAAGTTTTAATATTGCAAATTTTTAATGTAATAAAACCCAACAAGTTTCTTTATCATATCGTATTCAGTCTTAAACAAGAAATAATAAAATTCACTTTTTAGATAGTATAATCGGGAAGTACCCTTAACAATTTCTCTCCTATGATTGATAACTGTTATCAGTGATGGAAACCATAACAATTCCGCGGTTTAAAAACAATTTTTGGAAATGTCACTATTACAGTCTAAAAACTTTTTACAATTCAAATGTATATTTTGATATAGATTCTGAAATTATATTTAAAAACAAAAGTATTTCATATTCTTTCATTCGAGCAAAGTGCAAGAATTTTTGAAGATTTCAAAGTTTCTGTATTTTTCCATTATTTGTTCAGTACTATTCGAGTAATTCTACATTCCATCACTAATGGTAACGTTTAATGCAAAGAAAAGTATATCGCACATGTTGTTAATCGTTATGCAATAATTGAATGTATTTAAATGTAATCAATGTGAAACGAAACGTTGCGTTGAACGATAATATATATACCATGATAACGAAGATCTTTTTTATCTTGGTAAATATTAATTCTCGCATTATTTTATTACTAAGTAATATTAAAATAGTTTCGTATTGTAGAAATCAAAATTTTAATTTATTAATAATAAAACTTTAATTTGTTTATATCACAGATTTAACAATAAAACTGACCTCTTAGATTTAAATCTCAAGAATTCAAAATAGGACTGCAAGGTCTCGGGTAATTGCATTGTAGAGAAGAAAATTATTTCATAATCTGTAAATCTCTTTTAATAATGTACTCACAAGCAATAATTAATTTAGTATATGATTTAACTTACATAACGAAATTCTTTATTTAAATTATAACTTGTTAACTACTTCCAATCATATGTAATCATTATAATTTCATGTAAATGAATTAATTAAACATGATAACTATGTTTTTTTAGTAGTTTCTTATTTGAAATATACGTTAGCAATACACCGTCATTATTATATCGTAATCCATGTTTTCATAAATAACACTGAACCAATTTATTACCACATATTACTCAGAGATCTTCTTCATACATGGTTATGTTATTGAAACTATTTCTGTAGAGACTTATCCGAATGTTTATTTTTACAATTCTAGTTTCCACACGTTTTATTATCTAATCATTATATTATTTAGATACATTATCGCCTAGCAGTGAACTCGAAATTATTAGATAACAGGATGTTTTAGTATCAGGATATTATAAAAATAAACTTGGATTTTATCATAATGTCAATCTACTGAATGAACTTCTTCAAATCTTATGTTTCTAACAGTTGTGTATCAAAAACTTCGAATAAATAAGTCATTTTAACAGGTAACAAGTTTTATTTTGCCATTGGAATAAGCCATTTTTCGCAGATGTGTTTTTAAGCATAAAAACTGATATAATTAATTTACAAGTTAAACTCCATTACGCATTGGTAGATCAGTAGTAGAATTCTCAGCACTTCAACTCGATACTTGATATTTATTGACACCATAATACTGTAACAAATTAAAATATATTTTTTTTCTTGTAAAATATAATTTACATTATATTCAGTATATTACAGTTTAATCAGTATGTTTAAGAACAGAAAATTGTCATCTCTTTTGTTCAGGACTCTAGCCAAAATTTCATCACAAAGAACGTATTATTAAAGAAATTGTAATATTACACAGTATAAACATATCATTATTCATACACACACCGTCTGCAACGGGAATCAACAACGGCAGACAACAAAAGAAAATTCTAACATTATTAGTAGAAAACGTTGTCGCAAGAAGACAATATTCTCCCAATATTACTTATTCTCTANGTAGAAAACGTTGTCGCAAGAAGACAATATTCTCCCAATATTACTTATTCTCTATTTTGAGAGTCAGGTTAAGGATTACTTACATAATATTTTAAGAAAAAGTAAACGAGATATTTACAAACATGCCTATCGGCAAGCCATCTTCGATTGCAGAAGCATGTATGTGAAAAGAGGAAGAGGATTCTGAAAAATATAAAATTCATCATTAATGGAATATCTTTGAAAATCTAATAAATATTCAAGTTTTCATTTATCTCAGTCAAAAATGTACACGTTGGAGTTTTTGAAGTTTCGCCATAAAATATTCAGCCCCGAAAGATATTCATCATTAGTATACGAAATATTTATTGTACTATATTTTTTAAGTGTCATCAAACATATATTACCTTAAGTAGAAGAGATTCAGATTCGTAATTTTCGTACAATAATAAGAGTAATTCATTGTACGTTGTATTTTTGTACTTTCATATCAAATATTCATATTCGTATCACTTATACCATGCTTTTGTGAAAACTTCCTTAGTCTTCCAAATCCCATTCGAAGCATTTCGTCCTACTAAAAAAAAAAAATAAATTTGTTATTATATACAAATACTAAGGAAAAGAATATTTTCAGAGTACAATTGTCAGAACACATTGGGAAAATCATTGATATTTGTGTCAGTGTTGATATTGTCATCACAAAATTAAATCTTAGTAAAATTTTTAATTACTGAGATGGGATACAGAATTTTTAATTCCTAATTATAAAATTTGGATTATGACCAGTTAAATCAACTATTTTTACAATTGTGATATTCGGGAAATTGGAATGAAATATCTTAGAAGTATTTTTACGTATAGTTTTAAAATTAACTGTCTTCCCGATGATATAATTTTTGGAAACCTCAATGTTATATTCAACGAAATAGACAGGGAAAACAAGAATAAAATTTACCTTATTATTACATGGTTCTATATTTCAAATGTAGAGATCCGCTTCATAAAGTAATATGCTGCATCCCATAGGTTGTAGAGTTTCAGTACTGTAAATAAATATTACTATTATATATATGGAAAACGCAAATGAAGAATTTAATACTAAAATTTAGCACCTTTTGTGATGTGTAATGTAATTTGTAATGTAAAAACAAACCATGACACTTTTTTTTAAATATTATATTCTTTTTCTTAAGCTTTGACTGAACAAAAACCGATGTCGCCTAAGCAAAATAATTTGTTTTCACAATCAGTGTGCAAGGATCGACACGCGCGGTCTGTAATGTGAAGCTAAAGTCTGCAGCCGATCTCTGAGCAGGGGCCGGGCCTGAACGGAAAGTTTAACGCCGGACCCTGGGGACCGGCGTGACGTTTAATGTGTCAAGTATGAATATGAATCGTATCTTACTACGAAGAGCGTACACAGGTGTCTGTTGTAACGAAAGAGTTAACATTCTACATTCTGTATAGTGGAAATATAATGTTGTTGTTAATTTTTTAATTCAAAATCAATATAAAGCTCAGCACATAATTGTTATACAAACAATTGTAAAATCATCTATAGTTTATAGATAAGTTATTTCATGAAATATGTTCCTCGAACACTTACCACTTTCGTTTCTAATATGTTCCTTGTATATGTCTTCAGCCAGCAACCGCTACAAACATCTGCAAAGACAAAAAATTAAATAAGCATTTCATATGATAACATGATGCTGATCCGTTGATTCAATCCAAAAATCGACAAATTAATGTACGTGTTCCGTATAAAATATAACGGAAACATTGTTTGATAAGTAAAACCTGTATGAGTGATTATTTCAGAACTTCACAATCCTAAATTTCAAGAACATGTTCACTAAGTACCAGTGTATCAATTTCTCTTCAATAAAAAGCAATGTGAGCAAGCAAACAAATACTGTAAATATAAAAAAATTCTAGCGAAGATGCTGAAGAAAAATTGTATCATTAGACTAGATTTTAAAAAATCATTTTTAAAAGATATATTAAATATAAGATGATTATTAAAAGTTCAAATATTTGCACAAGTTGATTTTAGAACNAGCATGTATGTGAAAAGAGGAAGAGGATTCTGAAAAATATAAAATTCATCATTAATGGAATATCTTTGAAAATCTAATAAATATTCAAGTTTTCATTTATCTCAGTCAAAAATGTACACGTTGGAGTTTTTGAAGTTTCGCCATAAAATATTCAGCCCCGAAAGATATTCATCATTAGTATACGAAATATTTATTGTACTATATTTTTTAAGTGTCATCAAACATATATTACCTTAAGTAGAAGAGATTCAGATTCGTAATTTTCGTACAATAATAAGAGTAATTCATTGTACGTTGTATTTTTGTACTTTCATATCAAATATTCATATTCGTATCACTTATACCATGCTTTTGTGAAAACTTCCTTAGTCTTCCAAATCCCATTCGAAGCATTTCGTCCTACTAAAAAAAAAAAATAAATTTGTTATTATATACAAATACTAAGGAAAAGAATATTTTCAGAGTACAATTGTCAGAACACATTGGGAAAATCATTGATATTTGTGTCAGTGTTGATATTGTCATCACAAAATTAAATCTTAGTAAAATTTTTAATTACTGAGATGGGATACAGAATTTTTAATTCCTAATTATAAAATTTGGATTATGACCAGTTAAATCAACTATTTTTACAATTGTGATATTCGGGAAATTGGAATGAAATATCTTAGAAGTATTTTTACGTATAGTTTTAAAATTAACTGTCTTCCCGATGATATAATTTTTGGAAACCTCAATGTTATATTCAACGAAATAGACAGGGAAAACAAGAATAAAATTTACCTTATTATTACATGGTTCTATATTTCAAATGTAGAGATCCGCTTCATAAAGTAATATGCTGCATCCCATAGGTTGTAGAGTTTCAGTACTGTAAATAAATATTACTATTATATATATGGAAAACGCAAATGAAGAATTTAATACTAAAATTTAGCACCTTTTGTGATGTGTAATGTAATTTGTAATGTAAAAACAAACCATGACACTTTTTTTTAAATATTATATTCTTTTTCTTAAGCTTTGACTGAACAAAAACCGATGTCGCCTAAGCAAAATAATTTGTTTTCACAATCAGTGTGCAAGGATCGACACGCGCGGTCTGTAATGTGAAGCTAAAGTCTGCAGCCGATCTCTGAGCAGGGGCCGGGCCTGAACGGAAAGTTTAACGCCGGACCCTGGGGACCGGCGTGACGTTTAATGTGTCAAGTATGAATATGAATCGTATCTTACTACGAAGAGCGTACACAGGTGTCTGTTGTAACGAAAGAGTTAACATTCTACATTCTGTATAGTGGAAATATAATGTTGTTGTTAATTTTTTAATTCAAAATCAATATAAAGCTCAGCACATAATTGTTATACAAACAATTGTAAAATCATCTATAGTTTATAGATAAGTTATTTCATGAAATATGTTCCTCGAACACTTACCACTTTCGTTTCTAATATGTTCCTTGTATATGTCTTCAGCCAGCAACCGCTACAAACATCTGCAAAGACAAAAAATTAAATAAGCATTTCATATGATAACATGATGCTGATCCGTTGATTCAATCCAAAAATCGACAAATTAATGTACGTGTTCCGTATAAAATATAACGGAAACATTGTTTGATAAGTAAAACCTGTATGAGTGATTATTTCAGAACTTCACAATCCTAAATTTCAAGAACATGTTCACTAAGTACCAGTGTATCAATTTCTCTTCAATAAAAAGCAATGTGAGCAAGCAAACAAATACTGTAAATATAAAAAAATTCTAGCGAAGATGCTGAAGAAAAATTGTATCATTAGACTAGATTTTAAAAAATCATTTTTAAAAGATATATTAAATATAAGATGATTATTAAAAGTTCAAATATTTGCACAAGTTGATTTTAGAACGAAAAATAGATGTTATTCAAGAAATGAATGTGATGTTGGAGCTGGATGAAACGTAAATTATTATAGGATATATATGGAAATTATTACGTCGAGTTCTCCTACCTATTCAATTTTAAATGTTACATATTAAGGCAGTTCAATTCATTAGCAATATAATGCAGTAATTTTAATCAATTTTCATGTGTCTAACAATGTTCAGAAAATTCATCCCACATATGTTTACCACCCAGACAGTAAGTAATACTTTCATAAACAATTCTATAAAGGTTTTTTTGTTCAGATGGTAATTATGTACAGCAGCCTAGATTTCAAATAGCAAACCTAGACAACCATTTGCTAAAATTGGTACGTAAATACATTTTGGTTGTCATAGGTAAAAAAATACAGTCTAGGCTGGTAAATTTGCACACAAGTATTAAGTTTTCTATTTTTCTTTACAGATTCGTATAATAAAACGATTGGGTTTTGTATAATGATGCAGAAATATTAAGGTTCAGAGTACAGTCAATTTATATTGAATCCAGATGACGAAATATACCATTTATGGAATGTAACTCCTTCAATTGCTCCTAATAGTTTTGGAGTTTTGCACCCATCAGAGAGATAAATTTAGATATAGTGGCAAAGATTACAAATTATACAATATTTAAATTAAGATGTTACTTATCTATAACATCTAAATTGTAAACAATAATAAAAGAATTTGTCATTTGTATTCATAAGATTTTTAAAATATTGTCACTATATATACTATGTTCATAATTTAAATTATGAATTAATTTCATAAGTTATAACTTAAGCAAATCTTTTTGTAAGCTTTGCCATATGTTTNAAAAATCATTTTTAAAAGATATATTAAATATAAGATGATTATTAAAAGTTCAAATATTTGCACAAGTTGATTTTAGAACGAAAAATAGATGTTATTCAAGAAATGAATGTGATGTTGGAGCTGGATGAAACGTAAATTATTATAGGATATATATGGAAATTATTACGTCGAGTTCTCCTACCTATTCAATTTTAAATGTTACATATTAAGGCAGTTCAATTCATTAGCAATATAATGCAGTAATTTTAATCAATTTTCATGTGTCTAACAATGTTCAGAAAATTCATCCCACATATGTTTACCACCCAGACAGTAAGTAATACTTTCATAAACAATTCTATAAAGGTTTTTTTGTTCAGATGGTAATTATGTACAGCAGCCTAGATTTCAAATAGCAAACCTAGACAACCATTTGCTAAAATTGGTACGTAAATACATTTTGGTTGTCATAGGTAAAAAAATACAGTCTAGGCTGGTAAATTTGCACACAAGTATTAAGTTTTCTATTTTTCTTTACAGATTCGTATAATAAAACGATTGGGTTTTGCATAATGATGCAGAAATATTAAGGTTCAGAGTACAGTCAATTTATATTGAATCCAGATGACGAAATATACCATTTATGGAATGTAACTCCTTCAATTGCTCCTAATAGTTTTGGAGTTTTGCACCCATCAGAGAGATAAATTTAGATATAGTGGCAAAGATTACAAATTATACAATATTTAAATTAAGATGTTACTTATCTATAACATCTAAATTGTAAACAATAATAAAAGAATTTGTCATTTGTATTCATAAGATTTTTAAAATATTGTCACTATATATACTATGTTCATAATTTAAATTATGAATTAATTTCATAAGTTATAACTTAAGCAAATCTTTTTGTAAGCTTTGCCATATGTTTATTTCAACGTTCCCACCCGAATATTAAAATAGAATTACGCATAATAACATTTTTACAATATCTACTCACCTCATACCAGTAGATTCATTGACTAGTAGTTTCAAGTAAGTAAGCCTATCTTGTCATTGTTGTCTCTCCTTCGTTAAAAGACTCTTGATTAAGAAATGTTCATTTCAGCTTATACCGTGCATTATTTTGTACCATTGCGGGCAAGTGCGTGTACTCGAGCAGTTGTTTTCTTCGAGAGAAAACATGAACATTTTTTTCACAAAAATGCATGCACGTATCCGCAAATTGTCCTCAAAAATTTTCAGAAACGATTACGATGAGATCACGATATAGTTTTTCTTAATTCAGTCACATGTATAGCGTGTATTACCGTTAAAGGAATTTCGTTGGGGCTCCATTGAGCACGCATAGAGATATGCATATACGTCCTCCCATAAAGAGGACTGATTTAATCTCAACAAATATACAATCTATTTAAGAGCACTTGATGATGCTAAATTTTTCACGTTGGGAGTAATGTTTCTAACATTAGTACAAGCAAGTTTCAACTAACTATTAACCTGGTATAATAATTTCAAAGTATGTTGTATGAATACTTTCATGTAGTTTATACCCACGCAAAGTAGTATAGCTGAATTAAATCAGTTTTCAATCAGTGATTAAAGATATAAAACTCCGGTATGTAAATATCATCTTGTTGGGGGGAGGGGGGGGGGGGTTATATTCAACGTTCCCCAATAAATTGGAATAAATGATATAACATTCTCCTTTCACTATTTTCAATCTATAGTCTTTCATGAAAATACGTCACCTAAAAAATGATTACACTGTAACTATAAAAGGAAAATAGTGTGAACGCTATGCAAAAGGAATCTCAATGCCAATTAGTTGATGATACCAACAACCGAAGTTGTTTTGTATAATTAGCAGGTGTCACTTTTCCGTAAAAGTGGACATGCAAATGATTTATATTTCTGACACGTAACCCTCTTCAGCCTGAAAGAGAATTTCTTTCTTTGCGATAATTTGAGAAACTTGGTAAATATACGCCTAGAAAAAGTATATGAAACTATCTAAAATGGGTATAATCTATATTGAAAGCACTGAAATTTTCATATATACTTTTAAACACGCTTATGTTTCCAATGCTCCAATAATTACGATAATTAATAATTAAATAAATAGTTCCTACGTATAGATGGTATGTAGACCTTTATTCATAAAATTACTCTTTGTCAATGAAGTTCCTTCACAAAGTTTCGAGTAGCACAATTGTAAATTTACTCTGTTGATGTACGACTTATTCTAACATAATAACTTTTTATGAAGATTTAAGTAATGAGGATCATATCTTTTACATGGTGAAGTTGACACCATTAATTAAGCTTAAAAACACGTATGTACGAATATCGATACTGCGGCAGCTAAAATTGTCATAATGCAGGGCGAATCCGTGCAATTTCTAATCTTATAGAAAGATCGGCTATTTATATTTAACTACTGCTGTGTTGGTCTCGGTCTGGATTAACGCATTCTCACTTATAGACTAATGTGTCCATGTATTCGTACAAAGCAAAAGGTACTACTTCAAAGTATATTATTTTCACTTTGGGAAAAGTAACGAATCAAATTAATTGATAAACTATGAATAGCGACGATATGATGATACAATAAATGACAAAAATTAATATATTACGTCGTTTTGAATATTTACACACATTCTTTCGTAAAATAAAATACCCTCCCCTGAGATTTTGTTTTTGTTTAAAATACTACTAATTGACACAATGAATATGCATCGTTTCTACATATTATCGTATTATTCTATCATGGTAGGGTCTACAGTATAGCACTGTAAACTAAGTTTTCTTTTCTGTTTGTTCATGGCGTCTCTATATTTTTAGAGAAGAGAACTGCTTCTATGTTAAAATAAAAAAACCGTACGGTCCAGATTTAATGCTTCGCGATTAATAAAAGGGCGTAATTGGAAACCTATTTGTAGTCGTGTTAATTGTGAACATTGTCAGTGCCCACCAGTGTGAACTTTCAATTTCGCATCCTTCCAGTGAGATGCTAGCAGTTAGTACCACAAATGACTAGAAGACATTTTTCTCTTGCACTTCGTTTTGCTCGCGAGTTCTACTAAGTTCATTAATATTCTGAGAACTTAAAAACTGTATAAAAACACAGCAGTTTCTTTGTTCGGAAACGATTTGTGATATCCACGACGTCAGATCTAATACGAAATATATAAAAATCGCTTGACCACCATATATTCACTCATCCATTTTTTGCCATACTCTATTATGTATCCTTGTTGATGTATCATTTATCGTTCTCCCCACCCAATGATAGTTATCAAAAATATGAGAGACATTCTACAGCAAAACGTGTGGAGAAATGATTGAAGAATACAATGCGAACTATCTCGGAAAATATCGTTTCAAACTCGACGTGGAGGAGATACATAATACTGTAACGATTTTTTTGTTTTAGTAACGTCTCCTTTTATTAGGATAATCGTCCTGACGATTTCGATCATTTCCACCTTGCCAACGTCCACTACCACCACCGCCTCCACGACCACCTCCCATATTACCCATATCGACCCTCATATCCATCAAATCCATTATCTGAGCACGATCGTCATTGTAACCCCCTCGGCTACCACGATCCATAGTGTTATAAGCATCCATGAAAGACTTTGGGTCCTAATCATCACAAACGTTTGATTAATAGTCGATATTATCGCGGTTAAATTGTTTGTGTTTGGTTCGTTTTTTGTTTTCGGTAGGTTTTAGTCAGAGCAGTCGAGAGTATGTCGGTAATCATCGAAGAAAATGCCACCGATTCCCGTTTAAACGGTGGATACACACGGTGTTTCGTAGATTTTTGATATACCATAAACACATTTCACGGTTCAGGGCGACCATCCATGTTTGACAGCAGCACAGGTCATCGTCAATTTTCGTCAAATCACATAGAAAAGAAAGGGGAAACACAATGTTAGATGTTGCTTTGTCTTGTACGACATTAGAATGGATTGCGTGTAAACACGCGCTAAAACAAACGATATATATGTATATATGTTGTTAGAACTTTGTCACAAATGTATGCCGTATTTTTCGACATTAATTCACCTTATACAACCAAGCAAATGCCCAACATATAAATCAACGACGGTAATTACCATCGATATCA